TATTGATAAGTCAATTAAAACCAATTCTAAAATATCGATATTTCTACAGTTTTAAAAGTTACATCCCTAGTTCTATCCGCCATTACGGGTGACCAAGTGAAGTTTATGTAGGCACGATTTTTTCCTAGTTGTTTCTTATCCATACTCTTATCATATCAGTGGTTTTTATTCAATTAATAAAATTTAAAACTGGCTGCTTTACAGTTTTTTAGTCTTGAATAATTCTGCTAGGTGGCACTATATGTTTTTGTTTCGTTTCGTTGTTGTTCTTACCTTTCATAGAAGTGCAAGTAATTAAAAGTAAATAATTATTTACAAGGATACAATCTTTTATTAGAATTCCTAGCCCCTAAATCAATAGTTTTGATTTGGCCCTTGTCAGAGGCACCTAGAGAGCGCCCGGCGCCCTAGGAAAGCACCTCATAGACGCCCGGAATTTATTTTTGCTACAAAGTGGCGGTGCGGCGGTTGGGCACACGTGTCTCACGGTACCCTCTATAACCTGGCGCCCGACACTTACCTAAGTAGTTTGTCTTAGGGATAATAAAGTTCGCGCCCTAGTATAATAGGCCCTTTTTAGACGGCATACGTTAATACGTTTATCTAAGGCTTTCTTTACTGAATTCTCTATTCATTTCATTTAAATACTCTCACTTTTAAAATTATTATTTTGCTTCTTTTCTTGGTACATGACCAAACCATCTTAGCAGTCCGACGAAGTTTTGTAGAAGTATTCTATAAGTTCCTTATAAAGATTTGATTGCTTATATATTTCTTAATACATATTATAGAATTATTTATGCAGTACATAATTATTATTGATAAGAATAATAAGAATTAAAACTGTTAACGTCAATAAATCGAAAATGGTTCATACATTTTTAATTAAAATTGACCAAATACATGTATAAGTACTAGTTTGGTAAGTTTATTCAAGTCAACATAAAAGGGGAAAAACAAGTAACATACGACATTTCATTTCATATTCGAGGATAATGATTCTGGTATAATGTTTCCCTTCTGCACTTTATAGCATTTAGAAAAGGGCTAGACAAGGACGGGAATATCGTGAGACAAGAAAAAGCATATAAATATTATTTGGATAATGTAATTCGTAATTCCTCATTATCACTCTTTTTTATATATTTTTTTAAGCCATGAGTCATTATGATTGTAACAGAAAAGCCCCAGAAATAATACAAGAACTAATAATTTCAAGGATAAACTGTTTACACCATTATAGTTTCTGTAGCATTGTAATGAAATCTTTATTATGGAGATTATATATTTTTATGATCTAAACATTAGTCCATTATTTATTTAGGACCCAATAATAACAGGGATATAACACTGTTAAAAGTACATAAAAAGTGTTATTCGTTATTAAAATTAAACTTTTCGTAAGTAAATCTGAACTGTATGAGATTGCACTTACTTTTGGTGTATGAAGACCTTGACAGGTTCAACTAGATGGAATGTTCCAGCAATGGCAACCGTAGCCAACAGTTGCACCGAGAGTAAACCGTACACTTTGCGGACAAATCCCAGACGGATCTCTTTATCTGCATTGGCCACATTGTTGCGGTAGGCAAAATCATCCTGTAAAAATATTAATTTCAATTAATAATTAGGAAGGTTAATTATTATTGTAATTAATCAAGTTTTTATTTTGGTTTGATTTAAATTGAATTAATTGGTTTATAACTACATATTAGATGGAAAATAAATTAATAAAAAGTTGTAGAAAAGATTGTTAAAATACTTTTACCTAATATTTGATCTCACAAAAGTAAACAATGTCACTATTTGACCATGATGATGAAGACCATTGAAATGAGTAGTGCCTAAACTAAGTCTTGATTTGTTTATTGTAGGTAAATATCAGCTGAGCACACAAAATGAAGGTTTAGATCAATATGCTAATGTGTTTCTAAAGCATTAGCAATTTACGAGGTATTTTAATGAATGTAGTATATATACAACTTTCACAACCAATGGTAAGTTAATGGAGGAACTTATTTTCATATTTGAGGCTTTATCTTATCAATGGCCTTAGCATTGTACTATCGTAAAACAATCAACGACTTTAGCGACATGATTATAAATTATCTAAGCCAACCGTAGAAAAATATATTTACGCTTCATAAGGAATAAAAGAATTAGCACATGAATACATTCTAGACGCAAACGTGTTTATACAAGTGACTTGTTTAACATTTTAGCCTATTATATCGAAGGACAAACATTCGGAACGACTTTTTACCTAGTAAAAAAAAGATAAATAAGTGTACTTTACCTCGATGGATTCCTTTCCTCCTAACTCACAATCTTCCTGAGCATACATTAGCGGTATTGAAGCCATTTTTTAAGGGTTTTATATCCGTATTTTATTATTTTTTGGAGCTTAAACAACTGTTTCGCACAAATTATTATGGTTTACGGATTTTCCTTTTACGTGTGATGTCGCAATGACACTAATGACGTAGCTGACTGACATTCTGTCATGCGTCAGGTGATTAGGATTGTTTGTGTATGTTGAGTACCAGGCTTTTAGCATTCTTTTTGATTAATGAACGCAAATGAACGGTAGTAAAAAATAGTACAAAAGAGTATAATTCTTATTAAACTATGTATGTCATGAACTACGCAACTACGGAAAGGACGTTCAATAAGGGGTAATTTGGGTGCAATGAAGTCAGTTGAAATGGATTTTGATTGCGGTTAAATTGTAAATTGAAAGGGACGTGTTTTGAAATAAGTTTCTTAATTTTTATTTTATGTAAATCAAATTCTATTTACTGAAGGTACTTTTGTATTTATAATCTTTGCTTTGAAAGATTTCTCCGAGCTCAAAGCTTCGTCTAGATTTTAAATAAGATTATGTACCTACTTAGTTTAATTTTCAATAGATCTATTTTTTATATAAGACATACCTACCTATCTATAACACTACGTCACTAGGTGCCTACAACTCAAGTATTCGAGTAGATTATTACTCTAACATTATAAAAGGTACAAGTAACCGAGGCAGCAGTAAATGTGCAATAAAACGGAATCGAGTTAACTGCGGAGCGACTGCCCGAGTCTCGAGTCTGCTAGCTCTCCGCACTAAATCAAGTTTTCCGCGAAAGTAACTTATTTATCTCAACCAGTGGAATCACAACGGATGAAGCTTCAGCAGACAGCAATTTCGTTTTGTTATTTATTGTAGTAAAACCTATAATAAAGTAATTTTAGTGTATTTATTTCATAGATATATAAATATAACATGGATTTTTGATTAATTGTTATTGGTTTTTGATAATTGTTTTGAGGTTTTGTCCAAAGATTTATCACAAGGATTTCATTGTCGACTTTTTGACAAATTTTCGTCTACCCGTTTTGCCTTCTATCCTTCCCATCATTATACCACGGGACCACCAGACAACTAACAAAGTGCAACGGCTAAATAACGCAAGCAGTTAGTTAATTTATTTAAGTACACAATGCACGTTTCTAATACAGGTTTTATTTGTTACTGTTAAGTGGAACTTCTTGCCAGAATTTAGTTTCCAGGAGGGTGTCACCTGAGTGCCTTTAAATTACGAGTAAATACGTTTTGAAAACGCAAACGAGCTCTCAGTAGCTGCGTTATCACTTAACGCCCAGAATCATCAGTTCATAGATTACCAGATTTCTATTCTACAAAATATGATTAACGTTAGTCGTATTAGACACAGTGTTAGTTGACCACGATAGTAAGTTGGAACGGAACCCCCAACATAATTATAGTGATTAGATCACATAAATCTGTAAGAAAAATGAGACATGATATATTGCAGTTAGTATATTTTTTATAAGTCGTAGAAAGATTTGTAGAAAAAGATGAGTCCTGCTGTAGGTAGACAGGTATCGATTCACTTGGCCGGCCATTATTTTTAGTGGCTCTAAAAGTTTACTGTCATCGGCAGCCGTGGAAAGGTCGAGCGGTAATTACTGCTTTTACAGTAACTACCTGCTGGTGCATTAGCGGTTCTTAGGGTTGCTAGAGGAGAAATTAAAGATTGTTTGGTAGATAAATCTTATAAATGAAGATTTCAACGAAAACCAATTCTCAAGTTGTTGAGACCGCCAAAACCTGGTGTTTAAAATTTCCACTTGTATGTAGTTATTCCACCAATGAGACAATAAGTACCTATAATTTAATCTAATAAGATGGTAATTTATAATATAAAATTACACCTTTTTCCCACTAGAGTGCGCAACTGTTAATACGTTTATGTTTGTCATATCAGCAAGTTTTCACTAGCTATGCACCAAGTCTCATCTAGTAGGCAGTGACTCCATCTAACTTAACTCGACTCCAATGTTCCACTTTACAATTCCAGACTTCGTGTTACCACCAACTGTCGTTTATTTAAATAAAAAAAAAACTTAAAGTAACATTTTCAAACTCTTAAATCGTTTCAATCCAGGAATCAAATAAGAAATCCCAAAGAATGCAGTCGAATAATAAAATAATAGCAAATAAACAGTTTATTTAAAACAGGATTGTAGATTTGCTCGTAAATTGGGTTTGTGTACAAGAAAGATGTTAAGGAATGAATATTGTCAAATTATGTGGACCGCTACCACAGACTGCCGCTACCTCGCAGGTGGACTTCCGTAAATCGTGCGCTCAACAAATTAGACACAACGACTTTGTAGTCCAAGTTAAAAACTTACGACGATACAATAAGATTAAACATAATAACATAACATCACGCCTTTTTATTCCCGAAGGGGTAGGCAGAGGTGCACATTACGGCATTTATGCTGTACAATGTAACACCCACTTTTCACTATTTATGTTATGAGTCCCATGTAGTAGGGGGTGAGCCTATTGCCATATACCGGGTACTATTCCAGAATCCGTGCTACTACTGGGATTTTTAAAAAACCCATTAATACTTTGCCCGACCCGGGAATCGAACCCGAGACCCCTTACCCGGCAGTCGCACTTGTGACCACTCGCCCTATGAGGCAGTCATAAGATTAATATAAATAAATTATTATGTTTTCTGCTTACTCAAGTCGCGTAACGTAACAGACTGTTTGATGACGAACTCGACTAGTTTCAAGTCGATCCAGAGGCTCATATTCATGAGGAACATTGGGCGACACACGACGACGCGCCGAGTAGGAGCGCGACAGTCGCCATTTAGTATGTCTCCGAGAGTTACAAAGACTTAACTACTTATTAACAGTTTATTATGGACCAGGCTTTCTGGGGTGGGGTACGCAGCATTATCTAAATGTTAGATTAACTGAAGTTTGATTTTTGTACAGGAGTGGACGTATTCCAACCGATAAATGACGATGATAGTTGATCTTCTAAACTACAACATTCATACGAGGATCTATATGAGCCGAGTAGCGGGAGAATCCATGCAACAGTAGCTAGTATTCTAAATCTCTGTATAACGATCCTTTTGCCTCCGCCGCTCTTTTCTTACAGCGCAGCACCGCAGTTTAGGCACCTCGGGTCCCATTCTCGGGGACTTGCTTTCAAGAAATTTAATTAGAATTCTCACGAAAATTTCTCCCATAAAGATGTTCCAGATAAAATACCCGGAGACAGTGGTATTAATAAAAATCTATTTGTTTTAAACTGGTTTCGGAAAGTGTCAAGTGCTTATTGAATTATTTATCTAATAGTCTAGAAATAAGTAAAGCGAATATAGATAGAGCATAGTCAAAGTCAAAGTCAAAGCATTTATTTCAATTAAACTATAATTTGGTACTTTTGTAACGTCATCAAATACAAAATAAATAATAGTCTGTTAGTCAGTCCGTCAGTGAAGCTAGGTGAAGCTAGTTGCTCATTCCAAAATGTAGATTCGAATGGAAAAGAACGAGCAAGAAACTCCATTAGTTACTCTTTTTAAAAAAGTATGTTCTACAAAGTCTCTGATACATATTCCAATACTGTACGCTTATGTGAGAACAATGCAAAGACACGCTTGACGCATTATAGGTACTAATTACAAAACTTACTAAAATAAAAATCTTATAGTCTAACATGGTGCTCACATATGCATACTGACTATACATAAAAACAGTGCTTCTATACAAGAAAAAAGAAACTCTTTGTTTCAATAAAGAAAGAAATGCTCGATGCCATAAGGAAACTTGATTGTCTACATTAGAATGAAAGTATTAAATTATTGAATTACCTACTATTGGAATCTAACTACTGACTACATTTGAGTGTTGTCCAGTGGAGCCGAACCAACATGCTGCCAAGTATTCTTATCTTAAGATAATCTGTTAGAGTAAGATAGATAGATTTTATAATGAAAGGTTTAAAAAAGAAGGGGTTAATTGTTCCACAAAATAAACCACACAAAAGTAATTATATCTGAACAAGATTTAAAACGAATACCTAGTGAATTTAATCAGGTCACACCACAAGCTTTATAAGATTATGACGTCACAAAAAAATAAATGAACAAATAAACAACCTCTTTAAATTCACAACCACAACAGAAGCTCAGTTAATTGAAATAATTGTCGAACGACCACAGAATATAGGCCAATGGAGACAGAGAGAATGAGAGAACAGGCCGATTTATTGGTAATTGAAAACATTCCGATTTCCCGCCGAAACGACAGATATAAGAACAAATCCATTTTTAATGGCGTCAGCTTCCTAATGGTTTGGGGCAGGTGGCTGTTTTTTATGTTCCGTTCTGTTTATGGTTGCATTAAGGTTTTTTTTTAATTTATCACTGTTCTGTTCGTACCGTGACACACCTACCTACAAATATTAAAAAGAAAATCTTTGGTTGGGTAAGTGGGAAACGTTTGTTTTTGTTAATGAAAATAATAAAATAATTTTGACTGTACGGTTGGCGCGGTAGTTGGGTAACTGATTGCCGTGTAACGTGTAGTGGGTTCGATTCTCGCATGGAGAAACACTTTTTGGGATTCACAAATTGTTGTTTCGGGTCTGGCTGAATGTGCATGTGAAATTGTATGTTTGTAAACGCACAGATAAAAAAACCGTTGCGTGGCGTAACGTTAAAAAAAAAATCGGTAGGAGGTACAGATCATTATTGACACTTAGTAGTACCAATCTGCAATAAACTAGGAAGTTTTCAAATAATCAAGAAAATCTCGAGAAAATCCGCAAAGCATAGCTTATAGCGTGAAGCCATTAGCATATCGAAATCAGTTATAATTCTCGTAGTGGTGAGTGCAATACCGTTCGCATTGCGCCACTCCTGACCATTATGCAGATCACGACCTAACTACTGCTAGTGTTTCTGATTCATTTTTGATACGTTATCGGCTCAGAAATAACATAAAATTCTAAATAATAATATGTGAAAATACCTAAGTTTGGTAGTGATCTCTTTAGTTTTTATCTATTCAATCAAACTTCATCAAATTTTGCATATATTATATACTCGTATAGTTAGAAATACGAAGGAGGTGGACTTGTCCATTTTTCACTGC